TGTGTGTGTGTGCGTGCGTGTGCGTGCGTGTGTGTGTGCGTGTGTGTGCGTGCGTGTGCGTGCGTGTGTGTGTGCGTGTGTGTGCGTGCGTGTGCGTGCGTGTGTGTGTGCGTGCGACACACATGCGACACACACACACACCACGCACACACGCACGCATGCACGTATACACACGCAAACAGGCTTAATTATTGAAGCTCCTGCAACGTCGGCCGAACGAACGATACAATCCCGGAGAAAACGCATTAGTGGGTTCACGGCACAATGCACTCGCATCTCGGCTCTAAATCTCCCTCCCTCCCACCGCCCTCCCCTCGCCTGCCACACATCACGCTGCCTCCACACAACAAGTATTATCAGTATTACAGAGCCACATTACAGATGCGAAGCGTGCCGCGGGCAGGGTCCATGTAATTTTACAAGATCCGTGTCCGTGTCTGTCTCGGCACGCTCGCAAGCACGGCCAGATAATACAGGTTATCTGCGGGCAATGCCGGCGCAGGTTTCAGAACGTGGCGATACGGCAAACACGAAAACGCAATTTACATAAAAATGGTCGTCGTCTCGCGCCCGGAGCGCCATCTCGTGTTTTAGCCGCGGTCCATCTTTTTGTTTCGGCGCCGGAAATCCGGGTTCTTTACGTGGTTGTGAGTACTTCCGTTCTCGCGCCAATTTCGCCTCGATTTCGTTCGATTTTCTTTTTATCAGATGGCAATATAATCTAGAAACGCATCCATCCCCCGCGCCATCATCTTCATCTAACATCCGATATGAAGCACTCGGTCGCGTTATGAGTATGAATCACGAGATATTATGAATCATGAGATGACGTGATCAATACGGCTGTACTTAATGACTGGAAATAGCAGAACACTTTCCACCCCACCCCCATGCACCTACCCCACTCTACCCCCCAATCCACCCTCCACTCTGCCGTTCGATAATAGCTCATGTGTACACACTCCCACACAATAAACGCCGCGCCGTGTCACAACGGAGCCAATCAATTACTACTGCATTGATCGATTACCTCTGCATCGATTAATTACCCCTGCATCGATTAATTACCCTATGCATCGAATAATTACCCATGCATAGATCAATTACCCATGCATCGATCAATTACCCATGCATCAATCAATTACCCATGTATCGAGCAATTACCCATGCATCAATCAATTACCCATGTATCGAGCAGTCGGCGTCTCGCAGGCGTTTTCTGAACTTGTCTTCGAGAACGAATCGTGTCGCGATGAGATACTGCGACAAACGCACGCACGCACGCACACACACACGCACGCTCGCACCCCCACGCACGCACGCACGCACGCACGCACGC